TCTGTGCCAATGAAAAGCATACAAAACTGCCATCACTGTCCCATATTCTCAGCTTACAGTGTCCTGCCATGCTTTCAACTCAGTAGCTGGACAATGAAACTAGATTCAGTAAGGTTCATGGCCACAAGGATGTTCACATCTTATGATCTGAGGGAAAATTCTTGGTTTATTAATTCCTTCTAGCATTCCATTCCAAAGAATTTTGAGCAAGATTGTTTCAAGGGATTTCATTTTGTTTTTCTTAATCCCTCTGCACGGAGTTAATCCCGACTCTGTTACCAAGGAAATCCACTGTGTCAGACTAAGAAACAGAATGCGAAATGGTGACACAATGAAAGAAATTAAATGGCGACTATCAATTGCTATTCAAAGACTAAAACAACTGAATAAATTATGGAATTGTACAGATAGAATTACAAAGGTCAGATTTTTAAGAGCATGCATCTTTCCCATTGCAACATACGCCTGTGAGACCTGGACACTTACTAAACAAGCGGAACAGCGCATAAATGCATTTGAATATAAATGTTACAGACAGGTTCTAAGAATATCTTGGGTAAAGAAAAGAACAAATGCATCCATACTTCAAGAGCTGAATATTGAAGAGGGTTGGCTAGTAAAGACAATAAAACAAAGAAAATTGAAATATTTTGGTCACTTGAAACGTCATGGAAGTCTAGAGAGAACAATAATGGAGGGGTATATGCCTGGGAAGAGAGGAAGAGGAAGGCCAAGGAGAAGATGGGTGCAAGATGTGGCAGATGATCTCCAGATGGGTGTATCAGACGCAGGACATCTTGCTCAGGATACGAAGGTTTTCCGGAGGGTTGTTATGGCAGCGAGGTTCCGCGAGGGACATGCTACTGAATGAATGAATGATGAATCCCTCTGCTTCTCTGATTGTATTCATCAGCTGTACATTGTCAGCTGATAGGGAATCCACAGCATGTTTTATTTTCTCACAACCTCTATACAGAGCATGCAGTGAGTAAAACTATGGTAACTATCAAATTATTTTGCAAGAAATAATCAGTTATGTTTACTTACAAAGCTATCAAAAGGTTCTTGGCCCTCATCTTTGCAGGCCCTACCAACACATCAGGGAGTGAAATTTTTAATTTTCTGGTTGAATTCTTGTCATCAAACCAAATACCGTGGGGGAACTGTGCAGATGTATGCACTGATGGCGTAAAGGCAACGACTGGTCATAATTCTGTAGTTGTTGCCAAAATTTAAAGATAAGCAAAGAATGAACGAACGAACATTATTTTCAAAGGGTCGTACCAATTAGGCATGTATATCCATCTTATATTCGGCCCTTCTAAACACTTATCTTTCACAGAACCATAGAATGTTATATGTAAAGCATTTTATGTTCATATAACAGTATACACACATATGAGTATCAGGTTAAAAATACACAAACATGAGTGATATATGCATGAATGCATAAGACAGACAGACAGACATACAGACCCAAAAAAATGCTATTAAGCTTCAAATCGTATTGTAATTTTAATAATCTCAGTATGTCAGTATATACACAAACATAAAATACATTTTCCAGCAATGTATTCTTTCCATTTCTTCACCATTTATATTTAAATTGTTGAATGCTGAATTAAGAATCGACATCACAGCACTCGGGACACTCACATAAGTGCTCAGTCCTCATCTTCAGCAGCAAGCGAAGAGTTCCAATTCCGATGATACCAGTAACCGTCTGATTGTATATCTGTCTCATCTTTCCCCTGAGTTTTGAGCGTTGGCCAGATCCCCTGGTTACTCCTCGCAGAGCCATTTTCCTTTTTCCTTAGACCGCAATGATCTATCTCCGCCTCCGCACTGTTAACTCACTCCCAAAGGGCCCTCGCAATATCTAACCTGTCATACATCAATTCACCACTAAGTGGTGCAGAGCACATTATGATTGTGAATATATGCATAGAAAACTACATGGCACTTGATCAATAACAACAAGAATATTTAAAAGTTTTTCTCATTCTGAGCAAACAATTTGTTTTACACATTTTAGCCCTAACAGTAAGACTAATTCAATGTTCAGATGGAGAGGCCTGGAGGTGGGGGAAAGAAAGGGGGTTGGTGAGGGCCCCCCCCCCCCCCCCCTTTTTTTTTTCCTCTCTCAACCCTGAAAATTGCAAGTTGGCTAAGTGGTCCCTCTAACAATTATTTAAAAGTTTCTTCTATTACAGTAAATTACTAACATCCCTCTACAATGGCCAATACCCAAGTAAAACTAACATGCTTTATATGTATTAATGAATTTCAAATTAATTAACTGTTACTGTTCTATTAGCAGGTAACATGTATTCCATATCAGCTAAAGCATAGGCTGTGACAGCCCAAACAGCAGTACAAAGATCCATAACATCTGGGTTTTGCACTGTCATAGTGTCACCATTAGTATGATGAAAATAAAAGTACTCAGAATTTTCCACTTTAATACTGCCACCTGGAACACCAATTGAAGGCCACTGATTTACATCAGATAAATCAGCTCCATCATCCACATCAGTGGCATTCAGTCTTTTCAGAAGAGTTGATGCTAAATATTGTATAATTTTCATGGCCTCGTCTGATCCTGTGAACTGCAAGCCTTGTGGGGTGAATGTCCCCATGTCTGACTCCATGACAATGTTCATGTTTTGTGCCTCTTTCTGGTGCTTCTCAAAGTATTCTATGCCACCATACAGCCCCAACTCTTCACAAGTCCACAGCACAACCTGAAGTGTTCTTTTGGGTCTCAAACCAAGGTGGTGGATGACAGATAAGGCCTCCCAAGAGATGAAAGCTCCGCCTCCATCATCCATTGCTCCTTGCCCAACATCCCAGCTGTCCAAGTGACCACTGACCAGCACAACCTGCAGTTTAAGAATGTTTTTTGTTGTAAAAATAAGCACATTTAAAAAATGTATCTTGACATAAGAGTATTAAAAGTCTATGATTAAGCACCAGCAAGGAAATGAAAATTAAAATTTTCAGAGCATGCATCTTCCCTGTAGCAACATGCAGATGTGAATCGTGGACCATCTCCCAGTCCTTAAGAAAGAAAATAGGGGCTTTTGAGATGAAATGCTAGATAAAGATTCTCAGAATATTATTGACAAAGAACAGAAGAAATACTGACATTTTAAAAGATCTAAACATCAAGGAAGATTGACTAATAAACAGCGCCTTGTCTCAGAAGCTGAAATATTTTGGTCATTTCAAGCATTATGGCAGATTAGAAAAAAAAATTTGCAGAAGACATGGTATCAGGAAGGAGGAGCAAGGGGCCAACTAACAAGAAGATGGGCACAGGATATAAGTGACTCCTTGAATATAAAAATACAGGAGGTGGGAGAGCTGGCAAGAGATTGAGTTTTTTTTTTTTTTTCAGGCAGACCGTGATGACAGTGACGTAATGCAAAGGAATTGCTACATGATACTAATTCTGACATATTAATATGTATTCTTATTTGCACATATTTAGATTCACACTATACAATATACTCACCAGCTTGCATTAAAAATGTATATTTGTTAAGTACTTAACATTATGCCACTATTGCATTTATCATTAATTCTTTTAGTTACAGCATCTATTAATCCATTGAATATAATTATAAACATAATCAAATATTAAAGCTTGTTGAAATAAAATCAAAACCCCCCCCCCCCCCCCCCACTATCTCCTTCCCCTTTCTCTAAACATCACACCCTCCATCCCTATTCTCTACCTGAATTTCTAACAAAAAACACTGTTTCATTAATAATAAAATAACAGGAACATATTACTGGTAATAGGAGCTGCCATGGGGTAGCGGCTAGATGCTTGCCTGCAGATCTGAAAGTCATGTGACCAGGTAGACACATCCTTCAGTGAGTACCAGGTAAAGTCTTGGGAAGTAAAGATGACCGGCATGATACTGACCACATCACCCACCCAAGTGCAGATTGGTCTATAAAATATAGGTCTAGCCCTATATGCCTAATATGCCTGAGGACATGGAAAAAGAGTCCTTATGTCACTAGTAAATAAAAATAAAACCTGAACATAGTTTTTAGAATATCTTCTATCTTCTCATCACACAGTTAACTATATTTCGTTTGAATATTTTATGCTCACTAACTTCTAGTATTTTTTTTTCCAACTTGTTTCTTTGAATGTTGAATTAAGAATCAAGATCACAGTACTCGTGACATCTCCATATGCACTCCATCCCCATCTTCAGCAGCAAGCGAAGAGTTCCATTGGCACCAGTAACTGATTGTATATCCGTCTCGCCTTTCCCTTGAGTGTTGAGTGTCAGCCAGATCCCCTGGTCATCCCAGGCAGCGCCCCTCTCCACAGATCGCTATGATTTATGTGTGCCTCTGTAATGTTCACTCGCTCCCATGGGCCCTCACAACATCTAGCCTGTCATACTTCAGTTGACCACCGAGTTGTGCAGAACCAGCCAGTCTATCTGTCTGCTCATTTCCCAACACATCATCATGACCTTGAGAAAATAGCCAAAGGATGCTAACTATCCAGGACCTTTGAAGCGATGCTTGCCACTGCACAGAACATGTCTGTCTTCACCTTTCTCAACATACTCTGTAAGTTAATTACAATTATGACAAGTGTACAGCTGATTCGCGATCAAGCGGAAGGCAGCAGTGACTGCCTCCACCTCCATTCTCAGACTAGATGTTGTGATATTATATGCCAGGCTTTGCTGCACTAAGCGACGTCCATTCGCTTTTGCTATGAACCCCTATGCACTTTGTCTGCCCCTCAACACAGAGCCATCTATATAGGTAAATGCATCACTTGGGCAGGAATTTTCATGAATCATTTGTTGAACTTCTGAATCTGCAGCACCAGTTGGTCAGTTCCCTGCACTCACGACCTAAAATGATTAGAACCCTACACAAATCTGATTCTTGCTCGGACACTTTGACCCACTCCTCTTCTTGTTCAAATTTGTTAAACCTGCACGCATGTCTAATTGTTTCTTCCGCTTGTGCCATCCTCTTTTCAGTCTGTGACCCTTAGCTCTACCTAGGGCTTCATGCAGAAAGTGCTTCTTGTCTGCAGCTACTCTGAGATATGACTTTGTTTGCAGATCTTTGAGCCTATTTGCAATAGTAGGCAGTGCAAGTATATATCGCATACACACTACCGGGGTATCTTTTGTACATCCCAGAATTACCCGCATGGTTTTATTCTGAATGCTTTCAAGCTTCATCAGCTGATTCTTTGATATGGCAAGCATTTCAAGTTATTTATGTTAACTGTGTACAAGCTACTGTTGTTACTGAAGATAATTTGCCCACTAAAGATGACATGTTGATTTATTTCCCTTGTTATCTTTTTAATAATAAAACTAATCATAAATAGTTACTGTTTATTAATTATACGGCAGACATTACCATATTAAAGTAGCATTATCTACAGAAATCTGGAGGATGCCACTTTACACTATTTTTAGCCCTCTGGGCTGCCAAGTGAAGGTTTGATCACACCTAAATTTACAAAATCTCAATCTAGATGGCAAGCCAATAGGGCAAATCCCAGATATCCTGTTGAAACTTTAATGAAACTATAACTAGAGTGTCCGCAATGATTACACCAGCCAAGTGTAACCTGCATTTTAAATGAAATTCACACGCACATATATACATACAAATGTATCTGAATGCATGTTTCTCTTTTTTCTTGCACATACCCATCAACACGATGACTGACAATTGGCACCTTTCCATCTTTCCAGACAATAGTGTTATACTGCGCCCATGGCGATGGCAAGTGTGACTAGCAAGACCCACCCGTATCAAGAAAAGTCTTCCACAATGATAGTATGGGATTTCAGGACCATTGTTGTCAACATTTGTGTTTAATCCATTTTTTTTCAGACACTCAGCTCTCATCCTTTCTGCAATTATTTCTTCCTTAACTCTCATTCCCTTCCTGATATGCCCTTTCCACACAACACGGTCCATGGCATTTTGTTCTCATGAGTCCACCTCAATACCTGTATCATTCATGTCCTGCTTGCACACATCTTTATACTGTAGTAGAGGTCGGCCTCAACATCTTCTTCCTGCCATCAACACACACACAGACAAATACACTTATTGTCATTTTATGAAACACCCATGCTGTGTGATGTTTTTTAATTATGTCTGTTTGCAGCTTTCTGTCAATCACTGCTGCTACTGATGTTCTTTCTTTCTTCGTCTCCCAGCCTCTTTTCCCATTCAGCTGCTGTCACAATGTACTCCAGATTTCCTCTTTCCATTACATTCTCAAACAATGCAGACCACTTTTTTCAAGTGCAAGTAACCAGTCATCTATGCCAGGTAATGTATTTAACTCTTTCAGCCCCAGAGGGTTTAGCATCCCAGGCCCAAGGGGTAGTAACGAGGGACGTAAAATCGGCGCATCTTGCGTTTACTGGGCTTCTAAGTAAGAACCTTTGAACGTATGATGTGCTCCTTGGGACTCAAAGAGTTAAAGATATCATCTTTTTATCTGTCAGTGGTTTTCTCATCATTATACTATAAAACCAAATTGATGAAGCTTCTACATAATTTCTCACTAAAATGCTGATTGTCCATGATTCACCTCCAAACATCAGGATTAAATCTATTAAACTTTCACCTTAATCAACAAAGATATACTGCATATTATTTTCTTCATCATGATAAATACTGCTTTTCATTAGGCTTGTGTTATCTTATCTAACATATATAATAATTGCAACTCCTACCTCATCCGGAAAAAGATTTCCTTTGATTTCACCAATGACATTATAGGATACCACATCTGGCAGAGTTTCTGCCTCCATATATAAATAGATTGTGATATTTTCCCCTCTCTGTGACATCCTCCACAGCAACTCAGCATCTTCAACAGTTATGCAGGCTCCAGGTATCTGTGATCATGATTGCATATATATTAAAGGCTGGTTCAAAGAAAGGTAGCTAATTGATGGCTATCAGCAAGCAAATCAAAGTCACAATTTTGAGAGCATGCATCTTTCCTTTGCAACATATGGAGGTGAGTTGTTGACTATTTTGCAATCAATAAGGAAGAAAACAGCGGCTTTTCAGTTAAAATCCTATTTTTTAAAAATGCTCAGAATACAATGCACCAAGAAAAAGAGACGTACTGACACCATAAAAGACCTGAACATCAAGGAAGATAAGCTGATAAACAGCATCCTGTCTCAGAAACTGAAATACTCTGGCCATATCAAATGTCACATGAACTGGAAAGAATGAGAGGGCATGGTACCAGGCCAGAGGGCAGTGGCTAACCAACACAAATATAAGCACAGGACTTAAGAGGCACCTTGCAAAGGAAACTGCATGATGTGGGAGAGCTGGCAAGAGACCAGGTTTCTTTCAAGCTGGCTGCGATGGGAATCTTAGTCTTAGTGGAGGTTCAAATTGGCTGTTTCTCACTGACGCATTTGAAAAAATGGTGAACAAACAATTAGTCCTGGAACAATCCTTTTCTTCTTCTTCTTCTTTGCGTTCGGTTTCGTATGCTCAGATAGATCAGACCATCAGGTGGGTTGCCTCTATGAACTCTCATGTCAGCTGTAGGTCCTGCATGGTTCCCCATAGCTTGCTCTGTACACTTTGCTCTTGAGGCCAGGTGTAATCCTGGTCCGCCGATGCGCAGAGCTACCATCAATAGTTTGGGGTGGATTCTTTTGAGGTTCAGAATCCGGCGCTGTTCCAACATGGCGGTAGTCCACAGAAGCAGCCCCATAACGGTGTACGTATCTATGCATACTCATTAACTGTATATTGCACTGATGTCCGTTTCCATTTATGGGTGCCCACGCCATTCAGGTCGACATGTCCGTCTTTGGTGGGGGAAGTTACGGAGTCTTCCTATCTGTGTCCTGGTTCAACAAAACACTGCCTGCCAGAAATCAGAGGTTGTGGGAGTTTCCCTTCTCCACCTCTGATTATCGAGGGTGGGCTCCCTGGGTGTGACCTTAGTGGGGATTGGGACATGTCCACGCGCCGGTGGGTCCAGCATCGGCCGCACCTTACGGGGGGTCACACTCCATAGCCTGGTATTTTACCCCTTCAGGCTCGGGGGTCCATTTTGTTAGCGATGGAAACTCACTGTGAGCAAGAGCCATGTCTGTTATAACAGGTAGCACCACGTGTAGGTACGGATGACTTGACTGGCAGAGGCTATAAATTATGTGCAGGCATTTCCCACTTTTTAGGTGGGACCTGTACATACCAATCCTTGCTACCCTGGAACAATCCAGAAATATGTGCACACAGTAAATGCATATTTCAGTTGCCAGAGGTATCAAAGCAAACAGTCGCCACCAGAAATGCAGTTTGATGGAAGTAATCGGGCACGATAAGTTGGCTATACACACGAAATGTGATGGGAGTGACCTTCTGTAAAGGACCTTACTTTACACATTAATGCCATGTCTGCTCCATCTTCAGCATTCTGAGCCCTTGAGGTTCACTGCTGCAGATATCATATGCCCCAATTCATCTTTGTGTCTGGCTGTCTCGTTCCAGTTGGTGACTCCCAAGTGTCTTCCTGATTATTATCTCTCCACTGTCTTCTTCAAAGTTTACTTCAACTCTTTTGTATATAGAATACATTCATATACCAGAAAACTAAATCTGTATGTATGTAACAATGCAATGAAATACAATTCAGTTTACTGTACTTTTTATACTAGATTTTTTTTTTTTTTAGCACAGTCACAGTAACATCCCTTCTGCTACATGAAAGTTGTTTTCTTCTTCTTCCCTAACATTCCCCATATCAATTGATTGAAAACAAATAAACTTTTTCCTCTCTCCTTTATCTCTCTTTGGAACATATGCCTTCAGTCAACTCAATCTCCTGTAGCTCCCTCATGACCTCCCCAATTTATTCATTCCTGTTTTAATTCTTAATCACCTTAGGGATTCCATTTTGATAGGACAATGTCCCAGTATGAGGACTGTAGATAGACAGTGATGCAGCACTCCTGACAAGGGCTGCCACGGCTCCAACTTTAGCTGCTTCTCTGGCTCCAGCAGATCTGTACTGGACACTCTGGCTAAAACAACAATTTTCACGTCCTTCAAAAAATTATTTAACAATAAAATGAAAATAATGTATTATTATTAGTAAAAAAATGTTTAAAAAAAGGATGAAATTAGTGAGCTGATATCAAGAAATGAATACACTAAACACAAACTATGACTAGACAGCTTAACAAGATGGTGGGGGTGGGGGTGTGCACTGATACTTCTTCTTCTTCTTCGTGTTCACCAGCTGTAAACTCTGGCAAAAGTGCTGGTTATTCGTCCATCTCTGGACATCCATCTTCGGACTTGAGTCTTGTTCCAGAGTCTGAATGTTGTATTTACATCCGTTTTACAGATCTGGCTTATTTGTACGTAGACTTTTGGATCACTAGTTCTCAGGCAGATGCACTCTGACTTTGATGGATGCCTCCAACAGTACTCTTATGACATGCTTGCTGAGAAGGTAGTGGGTCTATTCTTGTTTTCCTCCTCATAATAAGGCTCTGAAACCCACAAAGGGAGCACAAATAAAACTGAAAATGTTTACAGAAGTCTTCATCAATAAGTTTAAAAGAGAAAAAAAAAAGAAGAAGAGATCCTAATGTTCATTTCCATTCAAGTTTATTCTCTTGACTCCCACATTTTGGGGCTGGGGTTTAGGGATCTTCTTCATGTTTCTTTAGCCATTATCTCTTCTGGTACCAGAGAAGTAAATTAGTTATGAATCAATGTTTGATGTGTTACTTAGTACAGACAGAGTTATAAATATTTTGGTTGGTTAAAACTAATTATATTTTTACATTTCCAGCTCTGATCCTTGGTTATTATCTACACAACTGATTATATACCTACTTTAAAGCAAAAGAGAATTAGGGGACAGACTATTTATGCTCTTTCTAATACCAGCCCACTTGTGTTCTGCAACATAACTTGTGATGCTGTGGTAATGGATGGCAAAGAAAAGTGCAAAATCCAAATTCGTCAGATGATTCTTGCAAATATGCAATTCAAATGAACAAAATCCCTGTGTCAGTTCCGAGGCTCAGTGTTGGTGGGGGTGGGGGTGGAGAGAATAGACTCACTGCCCCCTAACAAGCATGTCACAACGGTCCACTAGTTTAGGGTGTTTCCTTTAAAGTTGGAGTGCATCTGCAGAGAAGTGAGGAACTGACAGTCTGCACACAAATAAATTAGATCTATAAAATGGATGTGCAAAACAAAAACAAAAACCTAAGTTTTGGAAGAAGACTAATGAAGTGGACAAGCAACCACAATTTTCCGCTTGAATTTACAGCCGGTGAATGCAAAGAAGAAAAAAATATAACAGAAAAGTTAGCAAAATAACATATAAAATACTAAGGGCACTACATATTACTATTACCCATAGCTTTCCCACACTTGATTGTAGACAACAATCTTTCCTTTAGCTTCACCTGCTCTTGCATGTAGTTCATCAAAACTCCGGACCTATGAAAGAGAATAGTTTTGTTACACATTGTTTTAAAAACAATCTGTTCAACCCTCCTAGGTTATACATTTCAAATATGGCAAGCAAATAAGAAATGGGCCTGTTGCCATCTCTCAATGCCAGCCGCCTTTACTTCCCAGGACTGCACTTGGTATCCACTCAAGGCTGGGTTGACCTGTGAGCCAAGGTCAACTTTTTCTGAAAAAAGTCTGGTTGCTTCCGGACCTGAACCCACGACTTTCTGATCTGCAGGCGAGTGTCTAGCCGCTACACCATAGCGACTCTCACTATATAGGCTGCTCCCACGCACAAAAACAAATAGTATACTATGGTGGAAATGTGCACAAAATAGCAGTCCATGACCAGGGAAGAGAACAGTAAGAGAAATCAAATACCAGTTTTAAAAAAAAATCTAGTAGTCATTTTGAAAATGGAAATCGCAGTGAAATTTAGTTTTTTATTCTTAAGTACAAAACCTCCAAATCAGGCAGTGTTAAAGTAAGAACTGACGGGGACTGTAAGAATTAACTTTGCCTTCCTCTGTCAGCAACTGTAGCTTGGGTGCTGTGAATGCTCTTCATAATTTTGAGGTACCTGGTTTGATTCCAGCTGAGAGTGATTTGGCAGTAGACTGCTCTGTATTGACTTCTACAATGACATCGAGAGCTGACTGTTCAGAAAGCAATGGCAAACTAATAGCCTAGCAAAACTAAACAGCCAGAAGATGCTGGGGTTAGTACCACAGTACTTACTTACTTTACTTTTTCCTTCCACGTATGCCGCTAAGCGTTGTGGGGAGATGCAAGTTCCTGTCATAAGCAAGGCGGGCAGCATCTGATGTTCTGAGGCCATGCTTTTGGCAGGTTTCGGAGACCCCGTCAATCCACCGTTTCCTTGGTCTTCCTCTTGCAGTACCACAGTAAGTTAAGGAAATACTATTAACTAACTGTTGTTACGTTTTTGAAAGCCTAATTTAGCATATGACTGCTAAAAACAATCATTACGAAGGTCCATCAACTAATCAAGATTATAAGTTAAGACACAAATAAAATTACCATTATAATCTTTATCCTGTTGTGCCATTACATGTCAAATAGGTCTCGCAGTCTAGTCTGTTCTATCTTGTGTAATCCATCTTATATCATGGATGGAATTCATTTCAGTACCTTTGGCTTCTCTCAGCTAATACATTTCAGCTTTTCTCTTGGATGGTTGATTTCCTCAGTCCATCTACTTCCCATTTAAATGCCTGTCTAGTGATTCTCTGCTTACATTTCCTCAGGATGTGCTTAAAACAGCACCATCTACTTTGACTTATCATTGTAAAGCTACTGGTCGCCCAATCTTACTTACTTACTTAGTCAATGTCTACAACCTTGGGATGTTGAGGTTTTACCAAAGAGATTGCAAAACTTCTATATCAGCAGTTTTGGTTGTCCAAAAATAATAATATGCATTAAAAACAAACAACCATGCTTCACAAACCTGTCACTCAACCACAATAACAAACAATAACTATGAAAGGCATAGTTTACCACAAGAGCTTCTGCTGTAATTCCTTCTTTGGGAGTGGCAATACTTTTGCCTAGTCCCAACAATGCTATATCTTTTGATCGAGGGGAAATCAACTGTGCCTTCTCATTGCCTCGCACCCAGTGTGGGACAGTTACAGCTTCTTTGCGCACATTTTCCAGACCATCCTGTGTGAACTCATCTACCATGTAATTGATTGCATCCTCCAGCGTTTCAGTTCCACACAATCTAAAATTTGCAAAGCAATAAAGACATGTAGTCTTTTATCATAAGCTTTTTCCATAACCAAATTTCTCAGAAACAAAATACTGATGTCGTGGGTTTGTGTCCTGACAGAACCTTACTTTGTTTTCAAAATTTACTTTGGCCCTCAGGTCGACCCAGCCTTGAGTGGGTACCAGGTATAGTTCTGAGAAGTAAAAGTGGTAAGTGTGATTTTGATCCTATCACCTACCAAGTGCCAACTGGTCTATAAAATATAGATCTAGCCATATATTGCCTAATACAGCTGAAGATGTGGAAAGGGAGTCATTTAACAGATAAAGGTGATGGAACAGACATAAATATTACAATATGAATACAAAAGAAAAAAGAAGCTTTCAATGGTAAACTGGTTGCAGTCAACAGACATTAAACCTAACACTAAAACTAGAATGCTTAGCTATAATGTCAAATCAATACTACTGTTTGTATCAGAAACATGAGGAATAACTAAAACATTTACTAATAAACCGCAAATATTAATTAACTGTCAGGATAAAACCACAGCTTTAGAAATGCAGTTATATAGATGAATGGGAGAAATATCAAAGGCAGATGCAGAATCAAAATAAATGGGATTAAAAAAAACATTACTTGATAAGATCAAGATAAAACAATTAAAGTGGTTTGTCATATAAATCAACACAGCTATGTCAAATCAATACTACTGTTTAGATTTTTTTTTTAAACATGGGGAATTATACTACTAAAAAACAGCAAATATCAATTAATGTTGAGGATAAGATAACAGCTTTTGAAATGTAGTTATTTAAATGAATGGAATAAATATCAAAGGCGAAGGCAGAAAAAGAAATAAATGGGATTTAACCAAATATTTACTAGATAAGATCAAGGTATAACAATTAAAGAACTCTGCCATATAAATTAGCACAGCTTCTTGCTAAAGCATGTTCTGTAGGAGGTGGGTAGGTGGGAGGCAGACATGCAAAAAGACATTATATGTGTATGGCCAACACAGGGAAAATTGTACTGGGAGAAGCCTATTTTGCAAGAGGGCATAGTATAAGATGCATGACAAAGATTCTTGCAAACTGTTACCCTTGGGCACAGTGTCGACCTAGCCTAAAATTGGTATCAGGGTTTACTTTTGACCTGCTGATGTGGACCACATAACCCATTGAGTGTCATAAGTTTAATTTAACAAAAACAAAAATAAGTGTCAAGCATGATATGCCTGTTGATCTTTTGCGATTAACTCTTTCGGTAGCAAGCAATACACTATACAGTTTGTCATCCTTCCAAAGATAAAATAATATTAATGCTGTCTTCTATCATCGGCAGTCCTTATATTAACCCTTTATATATGGATTAAAAGGTTAACCATTTCTAGCCTACATCGTCTTCTCAAAACTCATTTGTATAAATTATGTGTTGTTAAGCTCAGCTTCTTGCAACAGAAGGGGTTAAAGTGACAATTGGTTGGTACTGAGAAAAGCTAAAAGGGTCTTATATTTTTACATATTTATAAGGTGGAATGAACCTCATAGCTGCACTCTTCAGAAAAAAATAATCCTATTTCTGCTGGAGATTAAACCCAGACCACTGTCTTAGCAGGTTAGCATAATAACCACTACGCTACCATATCTCCACTACGCTACCATATCTCCACTACGCTACCATATCTCCACTACGATACCATATCTCCACTACATTATTATATGTCTTCTATTTTTTTTTTCTAATGAAGGCTTCCAAGCCAAAATGTTAATTATGTTCTTTGCAATTGTCTCCTTATAAAGCTACCTGTAGCTTTTTATTCTTTAAACATTGCCATTTTGATTTAACAAATGTCAACTAAGTGTATCTTACCTCGGACCAAACTTATCAGTCATTCTTGCCAACCGCCTGTACACTTCTCCTTTAGCTGGCCCAGCAAGGATATAATCTATGATATTGTCAGCCACTGATGTATGGTTGTCAATATCCTTTTTGTATGTAGACATTGCTGGCCATTTTCTGTACTGTGGTAGCACACTAGAGGCTGCCAGCTGCAGCAGACCATAAGCAGTAAGGAGAACCAACATGCTGATCTGAAGATAAGAAGAGATAAATGAGTAAAATGTATATGTGTGTATAAGGAGAACCAACATGCTGATCTGAAGATAAGAAGAGATGAATGAGTAAAATGTATATGTGTGTATAAGGAGAACCAACATGCTGATCTGAAGATAAGAAGAGATGAATGAGTTATATGTAGATATGTGTGTAAGGAGGACCAACATGCTGATCTGAAGATAAGAAGAGATGAATGAGTAAAATGTATATGTGTGTATAAGGAGAACCAACATGCTGATCTGAAGATAAGAAGAGATGAATGAGTTATATGTAGAGGTGTGTGTGCGCGCGCCCGCACATATGCATGTGTGTGTATACACAGTGGTACCTTAGTAAATGTTTGCTTTGATATATGTTCAAGTTGGTATACATCCTATTTAGGCGCAAAAACATTTGCTTGGTGTAGGACCTTTGTTTGGAATACCATCCACATGCTAAAAACTCTATGAGTCAAAACTGGTGACGACACTGTGCTCTATCTCTGTTTCCTTCTCGAGGCAAAGCCATGGATAGATGTTAATAACTGCAGAAAAGTATGACCCCCACAAAGCCCAAAAAAGCTGTAATAGCATTATCTAAAGTGACCAGACAATGATACATTTCCAAAACATCCTGAGGAAAAGTTGAGTTGCATTTAGTTGAGTCAAGAATTGACATCACAACACTCGGGGCATTCTCATATGTGCTTCGTCCCCATCCTCAGCAGCCAGCACGTAGTTCCAATACTAATGGTGCCAGTCGTAGTCTCCTCTCTTCACCTTTTTTAGCATGCTTTCAGAGTCCATTACAATTATGAAATGTGTATGTATCTTGTTCTCTAGTCGCCGGCAAGCTGCAGTGACCGCCCGCCTCCACCTTCATTCTCATGCTAGATGTTGTGGTATCAATATGCCAGGCTGTCCTGCACTAAAGATTTTTCATTCGCTTTCACTATGAAACCCTAGGTACTTCTCTTCCCTCTCAATAAGAACCATCTGTGTGTACACATATATATATATATATATATATATATATATATATATATATATATATATATATATATATATATATATATATATATATATATATATATATGAGTATTCATAGGTGTGTGTATGTATATATATATATGTGTGTGTGTGTGTAAATATATATGATACTATGCTATCCCTTAGTATTATCGTTAAACTTGGTTGTTAGAAAATTACACTGGAAGAGAAGACAGCTAGCGTGATGTTGAGCATATCACTTACTGACTGCTGATTAGAAGGACCTTCTGACACCTTGAGGTGTAGGTGACATGTTGCTGGCCCCATAATTTAGTAGACCAATCAGCAGTCAAGGAGTGATATGCTGATATGTATCACACTGGCTGTCTTTTCTTCCAGTGTCCTTTCCTAGCCCCCATATTTAATGATAATACTAAGGGATAGCACAGTATCCTTCCATTAAATTTAGCTGAAATCAAATTAGCTGACAAGGAAACCCTGCTAAAGAAAGAATTTCTAACATGGTTGTGTGCAGTTGCATACAGAACAAGTGATCTGAAAAATATGTTAATTAAATGCTTTGAATAAATTACATGTCTATTAGTGTGTACTTTACAAAAAAATTATTCTAAATAGATAAATATTAATTACATTCATCATCATCATGTGCTGTGCTGGTAAGCATAGGCTGTCATATTTTGCCATCTCACACAATCACCTGCCTCATTAATTACATTACACTTATAAATAAATGAGGTCCCTCAGTAGCTACTTTTTTTTTTTAAAATAGTAAATCAATGTATATAAATTATACTACACTAGCAAATAAATGAGGTCCTTTACCAACTACATTTTGATTGTAAAACAAAATATATTATCAATTATACACTACACTTAAAAATAAATTATGTCCTTTAGTAGTTATTTCTTTTTAATAATAAAACAGAGTTCATCAAATACACTAACACTTACAAATAAATAAGGTCCCTTAGTAGCTACTTTTTTTGAATAATAAAACAAAGTGTATTAAATACATTACACTTACAAATAAATTAGGTCCCTTAGTGGCTACATTTTTTCATACTAAAAAAAAAATATATTAACTACACTACCCTGTAAAATAAATGAGGTCCCTTATGACTACCTTGTTAATTATAGTAAAACAAAATATACTAATCAAACTATACTTACTCCTTAAAATAAATGTGGTCTCTCAGTAGCTACCTCTTTCTGTTATCTTTGCCGTGGTCTACTGTCCTTACTAGTGACAGAATGTCTGAGCACAGTGCACCAGTCAAGTGTTGTTTAGAAGTAGCCCAGGTTAATCTGTTTATCATGATTATCATCCACTGTATTTTAAGTGCTAGATGTTACCTGGGCCTAAAATGAAAAATAATTAGTACTTGATAAAAGTCAGGTTTTGTGTGTGTCGTGTTTATCATATAGTATATGGAATAAACTTTATATTAGTTCATATTTTACTGACCTATTTTTGTTATTTTTGAAAATGAAATGATGCGTTAAAGTCGAAGCTAAAGTAGAATAAAACATAGCTTGTAAATAAAGGTTAGAATGCAGCACATATATTTTTTAACACAGTACATATGAACCTATTTGTCTAGTAAGAAAAAAACCCCGTAAGAAACTGTCAGGTTCAGATTTTGAAGGATGTGTTTGTAGCAGCAGCAGTAGTGCAGTACAGTACACTCCTCCATGCACAATACTACGATGTTTACGATTGTCATATCAGTCAACGTTTCTAAGTTGAAAGCTTATGAGATTCTTTCTGAAACTCAAGAGGGGAGGGTCCACTTACGTCATGACCCCCATGCGCCTTCCTCCACCCTTTGGATGAAAATACAACTCCAATCGGCTACACAAGAGAACAAAAGGAAAGTAATGAGATAAATACGTGGATGGCCTGGTCAGGCCAGACGGATGAGGCGAGACAACAACGTTTAAATTATCAGTGATTCTCGCGATCGTGTGCGATGGCGAAGCATGACAATCTACGCTTACCGGCACAGCATGGTATGATGATGATGATAACAATCTGTTATTGCACTCTTTTTCGTCAAGTTACCCATCGATTTCCTCTCTACAGATGTATGAGAACCGAGTTTCAAGACTCAAGACAGTATTTTGTTAAGATTCTCCATCCGCCTTCTCTAAATAAAAGCTTCAGAGGCCTTGAATTTGCCAATACAATTTTTTAAGCTGGCGGGAAAACAGGAAATCAATCCTATCTTTCCGACTTCGTCTATCGGGATAGAAGAATGTTGAATTAAGAATCGACATCATAGCACTCTGGGACACCCCCATAAGCGTTCCGTTCCCATCTTCAGCAGCAAACGAGGAGTTTCAATTCCGATGGCAAAAGTAACTGTCTTGTGTCTCTAGTAGCTTGGGGTGGGCCCCTTCGAGGCAGGGAGCCCGGCGCCATCCCCACCCGTCCACGTCCTATAGGAATGACACCATAACGTAATAATGTTGTTGGCATGACCATATCGCTAGTGATGTCCGATTTTTAGTCCCGTGCCAAGTAGGCTGACATCTTCCGACTTCGACGGTTAAGTTTATTTTCAGGATTCCTCCTTCCATAGGCTGATTGCCTTCCAGGGCTTATGAGCTCTGCCTAACCACATGTAACAGTAACTGTCTGATTGTATATCCGTCTCACCCTTCCCGTGAGTGTTGAGCGTCGGCCAGATCCCATTGTAACTCCTCTCAGCGCCATTCTCCTCAGACCGTAATAATACGTTAGTGCCTCCGCACTGTTCACTCGCTCCCAGAGGGCCATCGGGATGGTAAACATTATCAGAATTAGTTGCATATCCTTTACAGGACGTTGCAGAACCAACCCTAGCATTTTGTGGCTAATGATATTTTTTTTAAGGCAAAGTTTTCTTTCAGTAGTTGGTAAATATGGTTAGTTCGACTTTAGTCTCCCCGAATAGAGTAGGTCACTTTTCATTCAAAAGTTTGTTGAGCTGGTTGACTGTCCTGAATGTTACGTGTGGGTCCCGCTTTGTTGTTTGGCTTCTGCGATGTCTTGCATTTACGTTTTCATTCCAAGAAAGAGAATGCCTGTGACAAAGGTTGCAGCAGTCTCCAGGGTGGTTGTGTTAGACTCAGTTTCTCCATGTTTTTGGAGTGTTAAAAGCGCTGGCGTGCTGAAATGCGGAACACCCCCCCCCCCGTAACAGTGTGCGAAGTTTACGGGGCTCAGGAACTAACAATCAGAAGTGAGCTAGTGTGTATATGGACGGGGTCTGGGGAGACTAACGTCAAACTAACCGGTAAATATATATGTACAGCCCGAAAAAATTGTTGATGTTTTTTCCCTTCCGAGTCTGCCACCTAAAGGTTTTCCAGTTCCATAACAAACATTCCACGCTATATATAGATCCACCTACACTGGTCAACAAGTTACCTCATAACCAGTCTGCAGTGACCCGGACTCAGTGTAATAATGGTAATTTGTATAGGATTTATAACCGTTTGATTCTCATCCTACAGACTGCAATCTTGGGGGAACTGGTGGGTGGGTTTACAAAATTTAAAAAAGCATGCCGTAAAAGTAATTATTGATTTACTGAAATCTATTATGCCTGACCAAAAGGCGCATAATTCACAGTCTAGCTGTTAACCTCAAAGCAAAACTGCCAACAACACCTGTACAAACTCGAACGGTACGGGGAGTCGGTGGCTGGTCTAAGGAGAAATGACGCGTACACAGTAACAATCTTTGCCGTCTAGGTAGGCGCAAGAGAACCCATCTCCACTTCCACATAGAATGCGCTAAAGCACCTGGGCTTGCGAGGAAATTAACGGAACAAAGACTAAAACAGTTTAGCGAAGCAGCGAATAGAGCTTTCAGCTGGCTTTGGACGCAATGGAGCGTCGTAGGAGATGAGCCTCGGTAGACTGGTCCGAGCGCCTAGTCGAAAATAGCTTTTTATCCCTAAAAGCTATACTGTTCCATAAATGTCTGCCAGCGT